CCTTGGGGAAACCCAAGACCATGCTTTGACACCGACAAACCTAATAACGATATCAGGGAGAATCAGGATTCGAACCCAAGATCACAGGTACCTGGCACGCCTTATGGAAGCACGTCAGTACAGCTGAACGGCAACGCCTAACTCGATTTGTCTAGCTGTCGCTATTTGTTATAGGAGACCAGTGCAGGACACTATCACACAATCACACAACTCCAATACAAACGCCGCCCATAGTATACAAAGCGGTTAGGTCAGCGTGACATTATCCCGACACTTACTGATATGAGGTCGGCGGTTACATTTCAAATCGATCCGACGCCAGTTGTTCGAACCGAACGTAGGTTAGGTTATTTTTAGAAATATAGTCAATAAACACAGGACAGGACACTAATAACGAAAATATTAACAACCTTACATACAGATACTGTGAAATATACTTACAGGTTACTGATATAATGAATGAGAACAGCAGAAAGAGCGCCAGACCCATGTTACACAGCACACCTCCCTAACATTCGTTTCGGCATGCAGCTATCTACAGAGTACGGAAACCCATACAGGACATAGCACTACACCACTCGCGGTAGGGTTTTCCATCTTGCGTTACAAGCGAAACTAACATGTTACACCTCTTTCCTGGTAATTTCAACTACATATGAACGGGGAACTATTCGTACTGGTGACATGACGCGACCTATACAAAACATTGCTCGGTGATATTGTTTCACAATGAACCCGGAACACTTGTGTATATGCTTCTAGGTTGTGCATTGTGCCTTTACTGAGAAAACAGGTAAATCCCCCCAAATCCGTAATGCAAGCGTTATCTTGACAAAGAGGAAAGTAAGTGAATGGGTTTTTTTCACAACAGGGTCACAACACAATGAATTACAAATGACGTCACATAATCAGGAAGGGGACCTCGCGAGAGAGGGGCTTTGAACACATTTTACAGGAGGGAAAATGCTTAAACGAAAATGCTCTTCTCACATTATCTACTTTTTTAAAAAGAATAGTTCCACTAAATGGTTAGAGAAAACAGCTTTTTTTCTGATCTTCGTCTCAGGAAACCAATATTTTAAGTATCGAAACTGTAGATGGAAAGGTCCGATGCGTGTTAAGTAATACCATTATGACACACCGTGCCTCTGTTTTAATATGAATACAGCACTAAGGCAGAGGACACCAACTCCGAGTCAGCCAGTCCTTGTCTCATCCCCTTAGTGATGAGTGTCTTAACGTCTTTCAGAACGACGCGGCCGTGGATGGAACCAACGACTGACTGTGTATTGTTTTACACCGCAGTTAGCAATATTCGCCGCAATTAGCAATTAGCAGCGATTGTAAGTTTGCATGTAACATGTAATCTTGACAGTTTACACAAGATGGTTCAGTGCCATTTCGCCTACATCTCAATTTGCCAACACTACACCAACACGTTATGGTCTGTTGGCTGCGGTGGGTATGCATGACTGATTTTGTCACCCCTTGCAGTAAACTAGACCAGTCAACTAGGCTAACAGAAAAGTGATGACGAAAACTAAAGAAGAAAACAAGAACAGTTCTAGATATTCAGTTAATTTGTAACGTTATTTGACTTTCGTAGTGTTGTTTAACTGCTAATATCATCATATACACACTACATACTGATATACACAGTCAATTTCAGTAATGTCCACACTGATATGTCCACATGATAACTACTCGGTTGAAGTGACTTCACACTTCAGTCGGACAACTTCAGGAGATGCCTGACGTCATCAAGAAACTGAAGAGGGACACGTACACTGGTCAGCTGCTCCTGTAGTCGGATTAGGCGGGCATCCAGATCTCGGTAGACACGTGCTATCGGACGAACTGCAGCACCGTGGTCAACTTGTGTCTAAACTACAGTAGATAAGCTGCAGTAGAGGACATGTGACGTAACTGACAAATCAATCGTACCGCGACTAGACGACATCCGCGGACCACCGTACTGTCTGCGTTGCCTACAGCGGAGTCGATACTCGTCTGTCTAACATAACACAGGCGTGTGTGGGTTAAATTTAGCATGACTTGGACTACATCGGCCTTGATAACGCGTATGGCTTGTGCAAATAGAAACGAGTTTGTTGTGTTGACGTGAAGATACTCGCTAGCTTTACAGTAAGTACACGTTTACTGATATGCATCTGTGTGTTTGATGTGTACATAGGACGCATTTGACATCGTGACATACATTTCACTTTCGCACTGGCAACATATGTCAGTTATATTGCAATACTTACCTTTACAGTCAGTGACGTTTAGTACATACGATCATAATTTGATCTGCAGGTTTACATACTGCGATAACAGAGACTGGAGAATGATATGCACGACTCGGATGGAAGCATGGCTGTTTTGTGTCATGATGACTTTAGGTGAGTATAACAACTGTTCGTCTTTCAGCGACACGCCGTAACCTTGAATTATGATAATGTGAGAGGGATCAGGTTTGTATGTTGTTTACCCCCACTCTCAGCCATCTGGCGGCGGCCTGGAAACTTTCGAATATGGACCAGACAATCCAGTGATCAATATTCTGAACGCATGTGAGTATGATGATACGTTGTCAACTGAAGCTGCTAGCCTGGACACTGATCCGTGTGGCTGCTCCTTACAAACACGGGATAATTTATTGGGGAATCTCTACGGGCTAGAGGACACAGGTGGTCCCTGTGATTGAGTCGATAGTCTAACCAGGATCCGATGATCATGGGTTCGAATCTTTGTCCCGATTATTCACCTTGGTTTATCAAACTAGTATTTGGATCAACAAAGGTTGTTGACGACACACTGGGCTCTCCTCAAGTTGAAACGATGAAGTGAGTGAGTGGGTATGTTTTTTACGCCGCTTTTAGCAATACTCCAGCAATATCACGGCGTGGGTCACCAGCAATGGGCTTCACACAGTGTACCCATGTTGGGTATCGAACCCGTGGCTACCCCGAAACAGTACAGCGTTAAACTGACGTCAAGTGCAAAATGCAAGTCTGTAGCTACATGTTCCATGGCTAGAATTAGCATTCATCAACACATGTCTTGTCGTAAGAGGCGATCATTGGGTGGTGAGACTAGCATACTTGGTTCATGCATGTTATCATTTCCAGTTTGATAAGAGCGATGCTCATTATGTCAATCCCTCCATTGATTGGTCCAGACTTGATGAATTGCCGACCGCTTTCATATAAACAGAATATTGGCGTTAACCAAAACACGAACAAAGGAACGAGTTTTCATTTGTGTGATCCATTTTCTTTGTTTGTTGTTCCAACAATATCCCCACCCCCCAACCCGCCCCACCCCACCCGTCAGCAATATTCCAGCTATATGGCGATCGTCTGTAAATGATCGAGTCTGGACAAGACAATCCAATGATTGACATCACGAGCAACGATCTACGCAATTGGTATACGATGACATGTGTCAACCAAGCCAGCGAACCTGACCACCCGATCACGTTAGTCGCCTCTTACGACAAGCATGTTGCTAAAGATTCTAACCCGGATCTTCACGGGTTATTGTTCAAACCGAATACTGTCAAACCAAATATGTATCCTTGCTTAAATATCCACGTGTTACGTTTCAGTTTTACAAGCCATCTCCACAGCCACCATTGTTGTGAATGTCACGTGTAATGGCAGCAGTGTGGAGAAACAGTTCTTCCAGGTGTACAGCAGGAGTATTCTGTACAATGGATCTCAGATAGTTTACATGGGTAACGATGGGGTCCTCGCACCCGTCCCGAACTCAACAGTTAGTGTTGAGGATTTTTACAAGACTGATGGAAACATCATCACTGCTACCATCAGAGAGAATTGTAGTGACGTCACCAAGATTCAGTGTGAAGTGTTTGGGATGAGACGAAACCATCGAGATACTGGCTTCTTAAATCGCCATTATTCACCAGGGATTGAATTTAACAGTAAGTTGCTTTAGAAATACTGTATTACTTGCGTTATGTACACATACATGTTTCAGTACTTATACTTCCTCTTTTCGATAACACCCGGTGTCATTATTATTTTTCAGAGCGCCACATATATGTTTATTTCAAAGCTATTTATTGCGATCTACACCACATGGAATCTATCCTAGATAATGATAGTCAAAACTGGGTATCCTTGTGGAAATGGCATTCTGTGTGATACAAATACACAGTAGAATAGACTAACTGTTTTATACACATTGCATGCACATTATTTGAATAACTCCGGTAGGCAGGCTATATACTTACGCTAATCACCGGTAATTATCATGTGTTGTGGTAAGTACAAAGTCATTCTTAAGATACGAGTATTGTTGGAATCGTGTAATGGATGCAGCTTTCCGAAAAGATTTCTTATATTTATTTAAAGTTTGTGACATTTATTCTCACAGAATCGTCAAAGTTAATTTGAAACAGATTTATTCATACAATTTATTCAAATAATAAGTACATAGTCATACGCTATACGTTCTATCTTGCTGTCAAATGAAGATATTTATCTTATAGAGGTATCTTTATTTACCTTTGTGCAGAATGAATTTAAAACACTCCCTTCGATTATCCCCGTGAAGATCCGAGTTAGAATATTGATCTTCAGTCACCCATGCTTATCGTAAGAGGCGACTAACGTCATCGGGTGGTCAGGTTCGCAGGCTTGGTTGACTCGTGTCATCTCATCCCAATTTCGTAGATCGATGCTCATGATGTTGATCACTGGATTGTCTGGTCCAGACTCGGTTATTTACAGACGGTCGCCATATAGCTGGAATATTGCTGAGTGCGGCGTAAAACTAAACTCACTCACTCATTCACACTCCAAGAGCCGGAAAGAGGTCTGTCACCGCTGTCGATATGAAAGACTGTTCATTGAGCTGCAAGAGGCAACTGTTTACAAATGTAGTCACGCGGTCACGCGACATGCACGTGCAAGCCCGAATAATAAGCCTGAGGGATGACATTTTGATATAACGCGCATCAGACGTCTATTACCCTCGTTATACCGTAAGTGACTATTCACCTTTGTTTTGCGATAATTGAAAGGTATCCTTTCAGTTTGTTAGTCAGAACAAATCCACGTATGTGAACCCTCTGAAGCAGGTCGTGGAGTCATCCCACAGATGACATCCTTACCTTGTCAGCTTGTCTCCTACTTCGGATCAGAAGTCAGGATTTTATGGCCGCTACACCTGGAAGGTGGGATTTTTAAGCCACCTCTGGTTTACGTTTCCAGCTATATTCTAGGATGCGTGCTACATCCTTCGCTGGGAGTTATCATGTGACGCGTAACCGCTCTGGATTTTACTAAAGTAATGAGCCATCAAATAATAATTACTAATAATTCATTTATATAGCGCCTAGTATTCATCAAGTTGCTCACTGGACGCTGTAATCAGAATCTGATTATTATTACCCCGGATAAGCTCCCTAGCTAGAAGGTTATAGTAACATGACTTTATCCAACCGGGTACCCATTTTCTGCTGGGTGAACAGAGGCAATTTTTAACAAACTCACTTGCCTAAGGTGAGACCACATGTATCACATGTGCTTGGTTGTGGAGCAGGACTGAAGTCCTAGAAACTCTCAGGAGTCAAGCTGCCAAACACGGTCACCCATCCAAGGACTGTCCGAGCTCGACCTTGCTTAACTTAACCTGATTTGTGACCTGAACTCTACGCACCGGACCACACAGCGCCACAAAGACGGGATCACTTTAAGCTTTCCTCACCCACCTTCCTGATCCGCACCATAACTTGTTTGGTGAGTGAGTGAGTTTGGTTTTACGCGGCTTTTAGCAATATTACAGCAATATCAGGGCGTGGGACACCAAAATGGGCTTCACACATTGTACCAGTGTAGGAAATCGAACCCGGGTCTTCAGCGTGACGAGCGAACGCTTTAACCACTAAACTAGCCCACCGCCCATTACTGTTGGCGGGCTATTCCGATCAGTGTTACCGGGATATTCCGATTACTCTTGCCGGGCTATTCCGATCAGTGTTACCGGGATATTCCGATTACTCTTGCCGGGCTATTCCGATCACTGTTACTGGGATATTCCATTTACTGTTGCCGGGATATTCCGATCACTCTTGCAGGGCTATTCCTAGACTAATGCTTAGTCTCTGAATATATATGGGGCGGTGGGGTAGCCTAGTGGTTAAAGCGTTGGCTCGTCACGCCGAAGACCCGGGTTCGAATCCCCACATGGGTACAATGTGTGAAGCCCATTTCTGGTGTCCCCCGCCGTGATGTTGCTGGAATATTGCTAAAAGCGGCGTAAAACCAAACTCAGTCAGTCAGTCTGAATGTATATAATTTTGATAGTAACAAACAAGCCCATTTCTATTGAAAAGGAGCCCTATGGAGACCAGAGAACCTGAGGAAATCTAGACTTGCTTTATTTAGGGCTTTAGCATTGCAGAGAGGGCCTGGCAGTAGGGAAAATAACGTGGTTCAGGGACTGTGAGACAGACTAGGCTATTCCGATCAGTGTTACCGGGCTATTCCTATCACTGTTACGGCGCTATTCCCATTACTGGTGCAGGGATACTCAGATCACTGTTGCCGGGCTATTCCGATCAGTGTTACCGGGATATTCCGATCACTCTTGCAGGGCTATTCAGATCACTGTTACCACGCTATTCCAATTACAGTTGCCGGGATATTCCGATCACTGTTGCCGGGCTATTCCGATCACTGTTACCGGGGTATTCCATTTACTGTTGCTGGGATATTCTGATCGCTGATGCCGAACTGTTCCAATCACTGTTACCGGGATATTCTGGTCACTTTTGCAGGGATATTCCGATCACTTTTGCAGGGATATTCCAATCACTATTGCCGGGATATTCCGATCACTGTTGCAGGGCTATTCCGATAACTGTTGCCGGGCTATTCTGAATCTGTTGCTGGGCTATTCCGATCACTTTTGCTGGGCTATTCCAATCACTGTTGCCGGGCTATTCCAATTACTATTACCGGGATATTCCGGTCACTGTTGCTGGGCTATTCCGGTCACTGTTGCTGGGCTATTCCGGTCACTGTTGCTGGGCTATTCCAATCACTGTTGCTGGGCTATTCCGGTCACTGTTGCTGGGCTATTCCGATCACTGTTGTTGGGCTCTTCCGATCACTGTTGCTGGGCTATTCCAATCACTGTTGCTGGGCTATTCCAATTACTATTACCGGGCTATTCCGATCACTGTTGCTGGGCTATTCCGGTCACTGTTGCTGGGCTATTCCGGTCACTGTTGCTGGGCTATTCCAATCACTGTTGCTGGGCTATTCCGATCACTGTTGCTGGGCTATTCCAATCACTGTTGCTGGGCTATTCCGATCACTGTTATTGGGCTATTCCGGTCACTGTTGCTGGGCTATTCCGGTCACTGTTTGGGCCAATCACTGCTGGGCTATTCCATTCACTGTTGCTGGGCTATTCCAATCACTGTTGTTGGGCTATTCCGATCACTGTTGTTGGGATGTTCCAAGCACTGTTGCTAGGCTATTCCGATCACTGGTGCTGGGCTATTCCAGGCAGTGATGTCAGGCTATTCCGATCAAAGGTGTTCTTTAAAAAATGTTATCGTTTGTTTTCAGCATATTCAGGAAGTTATGTTCTCTTTCCTCCTTCTTGCCACTGACATTTGCATAATATAGTGTTTGCAACATGTAAGTGCGTTGTCATGTCATGATATAAAATCCTTTACATAGGACATTTAAACTCTCTCTTGCTGATAACTTTGGTTCCAGTTGAAAACAAGACGTCTGTCAGAAAGGATCCGACATATGATGTGCACCAAGTCTTCAGCTCAATCACGGTTTACTGTGAAGCCACCGTAGGCAGCGAGGGACATGTCTGGCACTGGGAGATAAAGAATTCTTCTCAAGAACTGCACTGGTTTAGCATCAATGATGGCGTCACTGAATCACAACTACGTCTTACTTCTTGTGCCTATCATACAACAAGTCAGCTTACATACATTCCCATCGTCGAAGGTCAGATTCACCTCCGTTGTTTACTGGGAAATATTGAAGTTGGTGCTGTGGAAGCTGAAGTATTAGATTTAAAAGGTAAGACTCTTTGTAAAACTCTGAACTTTAGTAGGTTTGGTTTCTTTATATCATAGTATGTATGTATGTATGTATGTATGCATGCATGCATGCATGCATGTATGCATGTATGCATGCATGCATGTCTGTATGTGTGCATGTATGTATGTATGTATGTATGTGTATGTATGTATGTGTATGTATGTATGTGCATGCATGCATGCATGTATGTATGTATGTATGTATGTATGTATGTATGTGTATGTATGTATGTATGTATGTATGTATGTATGTATGTATGTATGTATGTATGTATGTATGTATGTATGTATGTATGTATGTATGTATGTATGTATGTATGCATGCATGCATGCATGCATGTATGTATGTATGTATGTATGTATGTATGTATGTATGTATGTATGTATGTATGTATGTATGTATGTATGTATGTATGTATGTATGTATGTATGTATGTATGTATGTATGTATGTATGTATGTATGTATGTATGTATGTATGATATGTATGTATGTATGTATGTATGTATGTATGTATGTATGTATGTATGTATGTATGTATGTATGTATGTATATATCGTAGTTTGTGACTTTCGTGATGTAATATGTTTATATCCTACGCGGGGGTATATTTCAACCTGGCCTGATCACATTGTCTCTTTATCTTGACCGAAAACACAATAATAAAAGGAATCATTACTGACAGCCTGTTCAAAATCGCTGCAATTTTTCGCATTAATGGTGACGTAAATGTTGGCTTTATGTATCCCATGCCATTTCCACCACATACCATTATGTTTGTTATGTTGCAGGAATCTTCAGCTTCCATCTGTTTCTCAGCAGCATTCTGTTTGTATACATCCCTTTCATCATCACCCCACTCGTCTGGACGTGCTTCCCAAATGGATTAAAAAAGATTCGAAAACCTGGTATGTCTTCATTCAAAAGATTTGTTTTATTGTGATGAGTTAAGGCAAACTAAAATTCGTGTTACATCGTTACGTCGTTTTAAGATAGCAGGTAGGTAGGTATGTGAAGTCACGCCCTATCCGGACCAACGAATGCGAGACGAATCACATCCAAAATAGATATCAAAATTGTACTACTCCCTTTAGTCTAGAAAAGGCACAGGAAACTTGCAGAAGAAACATGTTAAACATTTTTTATATTTTTTTTTTATTCAAATAATATATCTTTTGCAGAGAAAAACTCCTGCCCAGCATATCGAAACATGTTTTCATGTGTTATGCTAAATATATATATTTGTCCTCAGTTAAAAGCATAATTAGAAAACGGTATCAAAGACTGCCTGATTTTCTTCGGCGACGTTCTGTGACAACATCTGTGGAAATCGTCAACATTCTACCTTTACACTCGCAACATCATGTTGAAGGTCAAGAGGTTGATTTGTCACAATAGTGGATGGAGTGTTTGAAGTGCTTGTGATTGCTGTGGGAACGATATGGGTGATATCTGAAGCGTTAACATGCATAAGGAAGCGCCAATTAGTGGTCAAGACTCGATTATGTACATACCGCCGACATAAGTTGAAATATGGTTGCATGCGGAGATAAACAACAAACAAACAAACATCAGCAAGGGGCATATACCGTGGAAACGGGTGGCTCATTCGGCAGGCAACGGCAACTCGTTAGTTCTCACAGTTTGTCAAAGAGGTTGCCTTTCGTGCAAAACACTATGCAAGCAGAACGTATTGGAGTGAGTAAGTTTAGTTTTACGCCACACTAAGCAATATTCCCGCTTTTGGTGGCGGTCTGTAAATCATCGAGTCTGGACCAGACCAGAGTCTGCGCAATGGGGATGCGTGCGTCATGGGTAAACCAAGTCAGTGTAATTCTTCAAAGTAGCAGTTTTAGAATGATGAGATAGATATGACATTAGTGACATTTGATAGACAGATAATGACGGTTTTTTTCGTTTTTCTTTTCCAGAGGATAACAAAATGCGGATATTACGAAGCTGTGCTTCATTTATTTGGAGCATTTCATTCATCTTATACTGGGCCGTTCTATGTGGTAATAGTGGGAGCCATCCACTGACAAATGGTAAACGTAGTGTCGTTATAATGTTGGTATTGCTGACGTATTTTGTGTACATTCTTGCAGTGATTGATTTCATGAATATGAGATAGAAACCCGAAAAGATCCGGGTTAGAATTAGTCTTCAGTAACCCATGCGACTCACGGGATCGATGCTCATGCTGTTGATCACTGGATTGTCTGGTCCAGACTCGATTATTTACAGTCGCCGTTATATAGCTGGAATATTGCTGAATAGCAGATAGGTGTAATATGATGCATCAATAAAATAGAAACCGTTACTTTGTAATAGAGATCTTTAAATGACATGCCAGATATGCAATGTGAACCTCCACAATGGGTTTGCTTCAGGGTATGTGTTCTTTGCGGCAATGGAAGGATCCGTCCTGTTTATATATGCAGTGCTTCGCAGTGTGGTGGTCTACATCAGAAAACCTGGTGGGTAGTTTTGTTGATTTCATGTACAACACTTGTCGTTAGTCCTCTTGGAGACACCCTTTTTAAGTTCCACATCAGTATACAATACTACATATCCGTATCGAGCAAATGTCTCTTTAGACCTTTAAGTTCCACGTTTATATATAATACCATATATCGAGATATCGAGTCAATGTCGATATGCGTGATGGAATAGTTTGGCCACTCGGGAACAAAGTCATCCTGTCTGTTGACGTTCATATAGGACTATGTTTTGCGGACTTTATAATTACATATACAAGAAAAACGCTACAAACGTTGACTTCACAACAATTTGTCAATGAAACATACGCCTACTCTGACCATTTTCAGAAAAACGCCATCTTTACAACGCTCGTGTCGCTTTGTCGTATGGAGCAGTGCTCTATCCGTTCATGTGTTGGCCCATCTTGAAGGTGCTGAGCGAGACAGTGATTTCCAGTACTGGTGAGTAGACCTCTGGGTATATTGTGTTGAATGTTACTATGGAGAATGCTGTATGGAGCAGTGCTCTGTCCATGCATGTGTTGGCCCATCTTGAAGGTGCTGAGCGAGACAAGCGATGTCCAGTACTGGCGAGTAGACCTCTGGGAATAACTGTGTTGAATGTTGCTACGAGGGACCATATCACGTTGAAGGGGAGGACGGCAGAGATTTATTGTTGCATTTATTTAAACAATTACACGTATTCACCAAAATACTGGAAAAAAGTCATGTTGGCTCAAACGAAATCGTTTGCTGGACATGCTGGGTAAGAAAGATTTATGCATATTTTGAAGGTGAAGTGAGGCAAAATGGGGTTTACGTCGCACTTAAAAATATTTCGTTCATATGACGACGTGCATGCGTGGGTATGTGTGGCTGCTTGTACTAGCCCAGACTTAAGCATGAATACCCCACTCCGACACATTATACTGACTCCGAGCCGACCAGTCCTTGTTGTACCCATTAATGCCGAGCGCCAGACAGGGAACAACAAAGTACCATATTTTAACGTCTTTTGGTATAACGTGGCCGGGGATCGAACCCACGATCTTCCGCGCTCCATATTTTAAAGGAGAATATCAAGGGTTCTATCCAGGTCAGCTAATACGGAAAGATTGAATCTTAGCGATGAATACGTGAGTCGCTAATAAATCATTTTACAAAATGAACGAGTCCTAACATTGAATTACCGAGTCCTAACAGTGGACGAGTGAGTTCTAACAAGAACAGATGAGTCCTAACCGTGTGATAGCAATGAGCGGGTGAGTCGTTACAGTGAATGGGCAACAACGAATTCAAACAGTGAAAGAATTAGCTTGGGTTTAACACGCGTTGAACAGTACATTTATATCGGTAAACATGGAGTGGAAGGAAAGTACACAGTAATTAGGCGTTTACATGTATGTATAAACACAGGTGGCAAATAGTTATCAGGGACAAGGACTAAACGAAAATCATCTTGGTAGATTCGACGTAAAATATCTGCACGATTTTTAATCCAGGTGGACTTGTAATACCAACATGTTTTCCATATTGCAGAGATTGTTTTCTGGCTGATTGCCGCGCCTTCACTTGTGTTGTCTATCTACGTGTCGCACGACAGAGAGGGAAAGTACTGGGAGAAGGAAGACTAAACTCTGCAGACGTGCAGTATTCTCTGTTTATATATGTGCGTTGTTTCAAGATGACCGCCATATAGCTGGAATATTGCTAAGTGCGGCGTAAAACTCAACTCACTCACTGTTTAAAGATGAGGTGAGGTGAAATTGGGTTTAACGTCGTACTTGAGAATATTTCGCTCATATGACGACGTGCATGCGTGTGTATGTGTATGTGCGGCTGCTTGTACTAGCCCAGACTGAAGCTGGTTTTATAGTGCTAGCCCACTGAGATACCATGCCGCAGTGAAGCATGAATACCCCACTCAGACACATTATACTGACTCCGAGCCGACCAGTCCTTGTTGTACCCATTAATGCCGAGCGCCAGGCAGGGACCAACAAGTACCATATTTTAACGTCTTTTGGTATGACGCGGTCGGGGATCGAACCCACGACCTTCCGCTCTCCGGGCGGACGCTCTAACCACTACACCACGGAGGCGGTCGTTTAAAGATGATGCTGTATATGACAGGGTATTGAAACAAAGCCAGTCGGACAATGACCCATGCGATTCGGATACAATCATCAACCAAGTCAACAAACCGTCTGATCCTGATGATCACTTCTTACAACATGCACGGTTGCTGAAGAACAATTTGAACCCGGATTTCACTATAGAAGTAACCGTCTGAGCCTCCATCACTTCCTTCCACTCACATCAACTCATGTACACTGTGATATAAGTGGAATATTTAAGTTGAACATATTCTGCCAAACCCGGATCTACCCGGAGGACATACAATATTGTGCTACAATACAATTTTTCTTTATATTTGTTCGGGGGTTTAATGAAACGTTGGAAAGGTTAGGTAATGTTGCATTAGTTAAAAGTTTGCGTATAGTTTTTTGTCATGTTAGTTATGACACTCGTGCTCGTCTGATAATTTGGACATGCATGCATACACACATGCATACATACATACATACATGCATACATGCACACATGCATACATACATACCTACATACATACATACATGCACACATGCACACATGCATACATACATACATACATACATACATACATACATACATACATACATACATACATACATACATACATACATACATACATACATACATACATACATACATACATACATACATACTGCCGCCCTAACCCACACCTCCCCATGTGTTATGGTGCTGTTGTATATTAACAAGCCTTGACATGAATACAACTGCATTAATTTTATTTTTAATTATATAATACGTTATAAAGTTAGATACTCTGTATTAAATTTTCTGATAACATTTGGTGTTAAATACTTCCTATCAAAAGTTTAGACTCACTTAAAACACTCACTAAATGTTATGTATGTATATGTAAGTATATATATGGTTACATCGAAGATCGAAGATTTCTCCACTAACTTGGAGGAACCAACTGCAAACCATATGCAGATGAATTGCATGAGCATCATGCATCGAATTGCTGTAAAGCATGTGAAAATATTGTGCATGTGAACAGCTACGTTTTGGCGTAAAGTTTTGTTAAGAATTCGCCAATTTTCACTGATTTTTATCATTTATTGAACTCATGACAATAATCTTTTCAACGTTACAAGTTGGTTTACAATCCATCAGTTCATGTGTAAACAGTACCTATAAACAGTATGGAATATTTTGCAAAATTTAGTTTAGAATAGTTGCCTGAAGTAAGTGGCTATATTTACACTAGTAAGTCTAAACTTTTGATGGGAAGTATATTTCGTGTATAGAATTTCTCTTTTAAATCGGATTGGCACTTGTGGACCCACTGCCAGACCACTGCTCTTAGATCCAACAACAATCTCAGGGGGATTTACTAGTAACTTAGAATGAATGATCTCCTGAAAACCCAGTTTACTACAGGAAACAAAACACATGTCATTTTGTAGGGCACCTGGAGTAAGGGGGGAATTACTAAAGTACAATTTGAATGTTTTGAGTGCCCGATCTTCATTTTCTATACAAATATGTTTATCCCCTGTAATTCATTTATTGCTGCTATCTTTCCTAACCCTCAATCATATCATTTGTCATGAAAAGGTGTCTATTTAAGAGGATAAATTTAAACCAGGCTGCATGAATCACAGAAATTGGTCACTTTTAAATGCAAGCTTTACCACCACCCAATCCCGTTTGGTTACTTTGCTACTTTGCAGTCGTCTGTTTCAGTAGTTCAAGAAGTGGTGACAGAATGACTTGAGACAGGGCATATTATACCCATTGTCATAAATATTACCACCCAAGGGTTTTCTGTCTCAGTGCAGAGATGGTCACGGGTATATAAAGGATGGAGTGACGTTCAGACTTGCGCATTGTGTTGGAGGCCGACAGCTGATATTGCCGACACTGTCGGGGACAATGGGTTATGTACGTTACACTAATATCGATACTGAAGTTGCCAAAGTATTATGTGTACATCTGAGAAGCCAACATTCTGTCTCACTGTCATATGTAAGGGCTTTCCGTTACGCGCAGAGCAAACGTAAGTGTTCGCACTTTGGAATTTCCTTATTAACATAACAACCTCTGTGTGAGTGAGTGAATGAGTGTGTGGGTGGTGAATGAGTTTAGTCCTACGGCGCGTTTAGTAATATTCCAGCCGGGGACACCAGAAATGAGCTTCACACATTGTACCCATGTGGGAATCGAACCCGGGTCTTCGGCGTGACGGGTGAACGCTGTAACCACTAGGCTACCCCACCGCATGATAACAACCTCTGTGGTCTGCAAGTAACATGAGTAAGTCACGGTGGGGGGCTACAGTAAGAATGTCGACTGCCACATGGGTCTCAGTGGTCGAGCTGCAATTCATACACACAAATAATCACACGCAGTTGTGATCTATGAAGGACCATTTTTAAAGTATGTTTTGGATTGAGAGGAACACTCGAATCCTTAGATTCGATAAATGTAGATTGTGGTTCGCTAATGCAATGTGTTTTCCCATATATGCCAACTGTTCAGTGAGTAAATGACATTAGTTTTACGCCGCATTCAGCAATGTTCCAGTTATATGGCGGCGGTCCGTAAATAATCGAGTCTGTACCAAACAATCCAGTGATCTACATGATGAGCACAGATCTACGCAATTTGGATACAATGACATGTCTCAACCAAGTCAGCGAGCTTGACCACGAGGTCGAGTTAGTCGCTTCTTACGACAAGCATGAGTAACTGAAGATCAGTTCTAACCCGGATCTTCACGGCTTCCTTCTGTTGAAGAAATGACACGACTTTTTCCCTTCACACTGGAACATCAAGTACATCGGTTAAAGCATGTCTGAGTTAATGCTGACAGCGGACAGTAAAAGAAAATCATGGGAGATGTATTTTAATGATTAATTAAGTAAACGAGTATATCAACAACATCATTAAAAACTAAGCGTGTACAAATAACAAAACCATTATCCGAAATACGTCCATACGGGGCTAAATGCATGTAACTACAACGAATATATCAATACCAGTGATGCTCCGGGTCTATATGCTCGTCGTAAGAGACGACTAACTGGATCGGGTGGTCAGGCTTGCTGACTTGTTTGACACGCATCATCGTAACCCAGTTGCGTAGATCGATGCTCATGCTGTTGATCACTGGTTGTCATATTCAGTTTCCATTATTTACATATAGCTTGAATATAGCAGAGTACGGCGTTAAACAACAAACAAACAAACAAACAAATGAAATAATTCATCAGATGTAAATTCAAAGAGGAAATTAATTGAAAGGATCTGCCATAGCGTGACTTTGAGTAGTATATCAGACATATCCCCAGTATACTGACATATACAATTTAAAGAATCCCTTACATTTCAACGTTATGTTTTACATCTTTTTTTCCATTTGACGCACGTTTCTCTAGAATCTATTTTAGACTAGTCGAAAGACAATTCTTCTTATACCTCTTTTTTGAGTTATAGAACTTTTTCATTTAACAGCATGAACTTCTGCTATTACTGATAATTCACTCGCTTGCTCATGTTACTGTGGGGACATCTCAGCCATATGAGCATCGTTACGCTCGACTCCAGTATTTGTGTTAAACAGTCTCTAGGTTGCAGATAAATGAATATATAAACGCAGGTTGTAAATAGTTATCAATAATCCAAATGACTATGAGTGCAAAGCGAAAATCATCTTGGTAGATGGGGCCTAAATTATCTATACGAAGTGGAAATCCAGGTGAGCTCGTAACGCCAACATGTTCATTGAACGCCATGAATCTCTGTCAGTACTGATGTGCTGTCACCAGTTAGCTCACGACAAACCTGCAGTTGTACTGGCTTAACTGGGTGACTTCTCAGCCGTATGTACATTGTCAAGCTCAACGCCATTATTTTTGTCTGTGTATTTTGAGGTTATGTCCGCAGATCCTGATTTCAGAGCTCCGAGAAAATCATACTTCGGATGAAGAATTTCCCTTTCGAACAAGAACTTCATCACGTAAGAAACTATTATCAAACCAAGTAACGATACAACAAAGGCGAATGTCCTGAATGGGAACAGTTGTTCTGGCACGTCATGGTCATAAAATGGGTAGAAAATAAATGGAGGGAGATCCAAAAAGCTTTCACCAGCACCGATCCTCAAAACAGTGCCAAGAGTAAATCCCACAATTCCGCCATATCCGTTCGTTGCTGGGAGGAAGAGTGCGCATGTCAGCTGAGGTAACACGATGACGAACACAATGTCCGCGGCCAAGACAAACAGTCCCCACACTGTCCTAACAAATATGGACAGTACGGTGGCTATTATTCCGATCATCAAGATTGATGTTCTTTGTATCCACATCAACTCTTGTTCTGATGCCTGAAATGAATAGGAACATGGAGGGATTAAAGATTTGTGAGTGAGTTTAGTTTTACTACGCACTCAGCAATATTCCAGCTATATGGCGGCGGTCTGTAAATAATCGAGTCTGGACCAGACAATTCAGTGATCAACAGCATGGGCATCGATCTACGCAAATGGGATACGATGACATGCGTCAACCAAGTCAGCGAGCCTGACCACCCGATATCGTTAGTCAATAGTCGCCTTTTTCGACAAGCATGGGTTAGTGAATATCAATTCTAAATCGGATCTTCGCTGGTTTAAAGATTTGTGAATACTTTTGTATATTACTGATGGATTCATTACACTTGATCTGATCAGGATGTGATTATACGTTAAGTATATCGATTTACAGGTTACGATAAAACAGCTGTTCAAATAACCACGTCCTTGTAAAATGTTAATATATTTTGCATAGTTAAGTGCATCTATTGTTCTTTGCAGAAATGCCAACCACACACTAGGTACGGACGCCACAAGTTTGAATATTTATACATATTCTAACGATGTATTATTCCATACTTATGCTCAATAAACTATATATAGTTACACTCCAAAGCTTTGAAAAAATGCCAAGGAATCCATATTGGAATCATTCTTGGTAGTCATTCAACCCCTGATTATTTAGAATATGCGTCACCTACTCAACACAGAGGCAGTTACAACTGAGAGTGAATTCCATAGGTTTTCACAACTAAGATACTTCGTCTTTTCTTCCTGTAACTTCTTTGAGAGGCATTTAGAAGTTAGAGCAGTAAGGAAGGATAACTATGGATGAACAACTTCTTTACAGTGATAGCGACGTTTCGGTGTTGAATCTACCACCGTTATCAAACAAGTGATGAGCAGAATAAGGATAGAGAGACATATATATATACAAGCGTGGGGAGATGTTGCACAATGGGGACTAGGACTGCAATAGCATAGGGAAGTCAGTTAACAATTAACCTGTGTCCTGATCGCCGTTCTGTAGACGTTGTGGGTGAACATGGAGCTGGACCCCAGGATGGAGCTGTCCATGGAAGACATGACTGCTGCTGAGATTGCCCCAAGACCTGATCAAAACACGTTAATACATAAAACACCACATAGAAAATACCAGAACCAGCAAATACAGACTGTATCAAGCAGTTTATAGGCTAGTCACAAATATTTACAGCATAGCAGTTGGGATTGCACCAAGACCTTAACGAAACATAATGAACACATAACATATCCCATTAAAATCAAATTAAATAAACAACTGAAACAACTAATTAACGTTCGCATCAAAACGACGGACCAATATTGCTGTTCTTGTGCACAGATCATAACACACAATTACATCGTTACCCATTTTAGAAGTGAATGACGTAAGCTCAACAATACATATTCATGACGATGCAATAACCTTTTAGTTTTAGACTTTCGGAAACGAAACCATAAAGTTATGGGATTTTCATTGAAATCATGATTTTTTTGTTACACATACACACACTCACTCACGCACGCACGCACGCACGCACGCGCGCACACACACACACACACACACGCACCATATCCGAATTAATTTGTCTGCGGATGTTGAAGTCCCCTCCATATACAAAGAATAAATATTTCTGCCATATTTTTTCTAAACATATATCCTTCCAGAACGGCCATTTAGTTGGTATTCTACACGCTGTTTGAATGTTTGTACCTATGATGGAAACAGCATCTGGCGTGAACTCTTTGAGAACAAGGGGCAGGATCATGCTGCTCATGTTGGCACTCACAGGATCAAGGCCACCGGTCAGACTTGAGTTGGACCAATCTGAAATATATGCAAGAAGGTCGGCAGGGATAAATCTCATATGTAACATATTTTAACAACTTTTGAAAATATTAAAATTCAAAAACGGGTACTGTCCGCATGTTTTAGGAATTTTCGAGTAAGGTTTATTGATTCGTTTGTTTGTTTGTTGTTTGTTTGTTGTTAACTGTACATTCAGCAGTTTTCCAGCTATGTGACGGCGGCCTGTAAATGATCGGGTCTACAGCTGAAAATTCGGTGATTGACATCATGAGCATCGTTCTACGCAACTGGGACGTCATGACAAGTGTCAACCAAGTCAGCGAGTCTGACCACCCAATCCCTTAGTCGCGTTTCACGACAGGCGTGTGTTGCTGAAGGCTATTTCCCCCCCCGATTCTTCACGGGTATAGTTTTCATACCGGCAGCTGTGCTGAGAGCACCGATAAGGAATGGGGGAACAGCTAGGATCAGAGCTCCCATCCCGGCCAGAACAGAGAGCACCTGGGCCTGTTTTACACTCCGGACTGACAACACACGCTGGAAGTACGATTGCCAGGGAATAGTGCCGAATATCTGCAACACAGGAGATGCAATGGTCTTTTATTGCAAATATGTAGAAATACATCAGTATGATCATATTACAGTCACTCATAATAATACCAAGGAATACAATGACGCATCACCAGCATATGTTTTCTTCACACAAATTTAGACCAAAATATGCCCAATTGAGTTTTTACACAGTTGTATACTTTTAAGTTATTTTGGTAAAAGGCTGCTTAAAATAGTTAATATACCATCATCAAGATTCCTCAGAAATTGTTTTCACTTGGCATCGTGAATACAAATTTGTTGTACAAATGTGGATATTGATACATTTGGATGCAGGAAAATGTAGACAAGAGTAATATTTTAAACGGACCCGGAAAGACATGTACATCCATGCTTACTGCCATCTAATTTGTTCATCCTGAGGTTGCCATTGACACGGACAGAAATGACATGGAGTCTGTAAATATTGCTTAGTTGAAGGATCCTATCACGTCCTTACTTACATGACCACCGTATAATGGACTCCGAGAAAATGCTTTAAGGGATATTTCTGTCACAAACTAAATGGTAGAAATGTCGACAATAAATTACAGATGATTTTAACAAGACTGTTAAACTTTATCTACGTGCATATTCCATGCCATGAATTTAAGAAATGTAATAAGTCGTAACGCACCCTAGATCATTTACTACAGGCCTATTGCCTCATCAGCATTATCAGTTGAGACTAACTTATCATGATACTTGCTCTTATGAAAGATGCATAAATAATATCGGACGTGTAATGATTTGCAGATCTCGAATCAGACTCATTCAGAAACCGCGAAGGAAAGCAAAGATATTGGAACACTGCCTGCAAAAATTTTGCAAAATGGTCGAGTATGAGGAACAGACAATAATATGTATTGTTCGTAAAGATTTTGGGGAAATAAAAACCACTGACTGTTATGACATGTTCACACATTCCGGGTCGAGTAAACATAACGGAATAATATAACGTCTCACCTTTTGATGGAGTCAGTTATGATTATATACACACCTATAAGTTTATGTATATAGATGAATATGTAGATAATATATTAAGTATGTATCCCTATCAAGAGTTGATCAATATCGATTTGATGTAACTGCCCTACAAGAGTGAGTGAGTTTAGTTTTATGCCGCTCTCAGCAATATTCCAGCTATATGGCGGCGGTCTGTAAATAATCAGGTCCGGACCAGACAATCCAATGATCAACAGCATGAGCATCGATCCTGCAAGAACACTTCATCTCCACCTGTATAAATGTTTCGGTTCGACCCAATACAAGTAAACTGTTTGCTTCGTGATGTTGGTTTTTCTTGTCAGAGCTGCATCTTGACAAATACGCCCAAATACTGTACAATAGTATACATGTTGTACGTACCATAGCAAGGGCAAGGTCAACCCAGGCCACAGCATGTCGGCCATCCAGGGAGCCAAGCCACATGTCTGACGTTGTGCTGACGTCACCCACACGATCGTCCGTCACCACGAATGGAATTGCAAGCACCTGCAATATCACTAAAATACGTTATGGACACCAGCTTCTTTATTTTGAGGAGCATGACGCTTCAGAGTATAGTCTTACCCCTTTATCAGGTAAATGACTACACTTTTTCCATCAACATTATTCCTAGACCCAAAGCACTCGATTGTTGAGGTAAAAAATACAAACCGGTGGTGATATACTGATTTGTGAACACTAAGGCGCAGGAAAGCCTTTCCTGTGAAATAAATCATCCATACCAGGCCGACGGTGATCAGAATTAGTTGTACTATGTCAGTATATGCAACTGAAATCATCTGACCAATCATGGTGTAGATAACAGTGATACTGGCAGACACCACAATGGCCGCCTCAACGTTGATGGCGAGTATTATACTCAGGCTTGTTCCTGCAAAAGAAAACAAATTGTTAAAGCAGAATATCTTATTGACGCGACTTAAAAGAAGAGTATCTATTCGACTTTCACAAATTTCAAAGCGTTTATTTGTGTTATCCACAATGCAAGGATAAACCAAACTACTGTCCAAACGAAGGGCACCGAAAGTGGATCATGAACAATGTGAACGTTCATTAATATATATTTATTAAGTCAAATATGTTTCTTGTATGGCATATGTCTCAGATGTGTCCATGCTAGTTTAATAGATACAATTGTTAACTTTTTTTTACCTAAATCAATAGTTCAACGTTGGTGTTAGTTTTGTATTTTCGTGGCCGTCTGACTCTCAGAGTGCATGGTAAGTGCGATGGGTTTTGATACAGGTCACAGCGGCGTTTAACCCATATCAATAACCTTTGTATCGTTTCTGTATGTTAAAGTTCATTAAACTTCGCAAGATTCTTACCTAGTGCATTGAGGATGGACGCTGTCCAGAAGACGTCTCCGCAAAGCGAAGCCAGGTACACGAGGCACGTGACCACGCGGCCATAACACTCTTCAATTGGCTGTAACATTGTGACGTACTTCCTTTCACGCATGCGTCCCGCATATATTATGCCCCCTTGTAATTGGAAAAGAAGGCAATGTTATTAAAAGTCGGAAAACAGGTGAATAAATAGTTTGGAAAAAAGGTTATGATGAACGTGTGTGAAGTTTTACACTATTTTGGACAACAGGCCAGTAACATAACATGCAAACATAAAAGAGTGGTTTCATTGCTCAAATTTTTGACAGAATATACTGTGAACGTATTGTCATACTATAGTTTATCCAGGCGTCTTAATTCTTATTGTTTATTCTGCTAGTGAAAGGTTTATGGTTTCTCGAGTATCTGATCCGGATAATGATTGTTACAACCCGGAAAAGAAAGATTGTTCCCATGTTTTAGCTTTTGTTATCTACAAAGCGGGGTTAAACCCAACTCGCTTGCTCACTAACAGATTAACCACACATTTTCACTGAAAAAGGACACTACAGTGAGTGTGGGAGTTTAGTTTTAGGCCGTTTTTAGCAATATTCCAGCAATATCACTGCAGCGGGCACCAGAAATGGGTTTCACACATTGTACCCATGTGGGGAATCGAACCCAGGCTTCCGGCGTGACGAGCAAACGCTTTAACCACTAGGCTACCCCACCTCCCCAGGACACTACAGAAGCTGGTTAGAGTAACTATTGCTGAGTGAGCTCACCTATAAAGAGACCCACAAAGATAGCCATGGGGGAGATCGTCCAAGCAAGGCCACCAGTAGCTATAGACTCCGCTGTCCCATTTATAAAACCACCCCCAACAGTAGTAGCTGGAAAACAATTGTCATTTTGTAAGCATAACCATTGTTACGTTTTGGGGTTGTTGTTTTTGTGGGGACAGTTTTGTTTGAAATCTCTATTGCGGATTTGACCTTATGTTCATCGATGTCAATTTTACATTCTCCTCCTTATGAAGGAGGGGATGCACTGTTTCTATTCGCATATCAACAGGATTTGGTATCTCTGCAACCTACTGCACAGATGGTCACCAGAAGGGATATATAACCTTAAGTACAAAAGAAACGCTACCAACAAAAAAATTATAAAATATGAATTACTAAAAAAAAATTTTAGTTTCCAGGTACAGGAACTATATCACCCGAACACATCTTAGGTGTTTACAAACAAAAATTGGAACAGAATCCTTGCTTTGTACACTTCCAAACAAAAACATGAAATGCACGTTTTTAGTCATTAAAATACAATTTTCGTTCGACTGGGGTATAAATTCGATGCAGAAGGCAAGCACAGCATCATTGTCTCAAAACGACACCAGAAGAATGCCGAGATTGACAGCGCAGCAGCGAGAAAGAGCATTGGGAATGTTGGAGATGGGCGCCACTCACGACCACGTCGCTCAAACCCTCGGATGTCACCGCGTAACAGTGTCAGACTCGTCCAACGATATCGACAGACTGGCCAGACTACTGATAGACCCAGAACTGGCCGACCCAGGGTTACAACACCACGCGAGGACCGGTACCTGCGCACATTGCACTTGCGCAACCGTTTCCTGACGGTGACGTCATCGGCGGCGTTGGCGTTAGGTCGTCGTGTCAGTCGACACACAGTGACCAGGCGGCTTAGAGCTTTTGGCATCAGGGCTTACAGACCTTTCCGGGGACAGCGGCTGACCCAGGCACATCGACAGAGACGACTGGAGTGGGTACGGCGAGTACGACGATGGCAGCGACGTCAATGGCAGCGAGTGCTCTTTAGCGACGAGAGCAGATTTCTCTTGTACCGAAACGATGGCAGGGCACGGGTTTATCGTCGTACTGGAGAACGACAGGCCGCCTGTTGCGTTCAGGAGGTCGTTCCCTATGGAATGGGAAGTGTGATGGTGTGGGGAGGCATTTGTGGAGAACAAAAGACGCCACTGGTCATCGTCAATGGCAACCTGACGGCCAGACGGTATATCTTCGCCCCACAGTACTGCCATTTATGCGCAATCGCCAACAGGGCATCCTGCTTCAGCATGACAATGCAAGACCCCATGTGGCAAGAATTACACAGAACTTCCTTCAAGCAAACAACGTTAATGTTCTTCCGTGGCCAGCATGCTCCCCTGACATGTCACCAATCGAGCACTTGTGGGACGCTCTTGATCGTCGTGTTCGGCGCCGTCAACATCCCCCCAACAAACCGTCAAGAACTCGCTGACACCCTCCAAGAAGAATGGCGGAACATTCCACCTGCTGACGTCAGACGACTGACGTCATCAATGCGTAGAAGGGTCTATGCATGTCTTGAGGCGCGAGGAGGCCATACTCGCTACTAGAGTTCACCATAGTCATTGCTATAGACTTTTCTTTAGCAGAAGTTTATGTGTAAAAAAATGAAAATGAAATTGCTGAAGTGTCGTTAAAAGAATCCTCTGTAACATTGGTACCATATCGTTATTTATAATTGTTGACAATCATCAAAAAAACTTTTTATGTCAGTCGTCTCAATAAACTTTATTGCATGTTTCTAGTGTTTGTGGTTTCTTCACAGGGTAATTTTGAAAAGTTGGTAGCGTTTCTTTTGTACTTGAGTTTATTTCAGAGCATTATGAATTGGTGGATTTGTTAGAAAGAGAACAAGAACAAGTTCAGGTTTTGTCGACACCCGGTGTACCAAAAGGAAGCCCAGCGACTCATTAATTATTGAAATGCCACACTAGCAAAATATCATATGCTCAAAACAATTTTTTTTATTAGATATCGTTATACTGCTTCGTGGTTTCATTGTTGCAAAGTTGAAATATATATCTCCTCACCTATCATGGTGAAGATACCAACGACACCATAAAGTTGACGACCAGCAACTGACGCCATTTCAGATTTATTTCCCTCCTCTATTTTTACACATTTGGCTGCAATGATTCCGACCACCAAAATGATGACGTAGAACACAATCAGTACGACCAGACCCGCTACGTTGATCTCCATCTTGAAACTACCCGAGCTGAAATTTGAATGTGTTCTAAGGTTATTGCGTCATCGTCAGTGAGATGTTGTGATGTAACAATATCAACATACGAGAATGACAGACATACAAAAGAGGCTTCACGCATCTTACCACTTACAACAAAGGTATGCAGGCCTTCGGCATGACAAGCTAACGCCGTCACCAAACAGCTGAGGTAGCAAGTGTTAGAGTTAAATATAAGGTAAAGTTAAATTAACTTTTTTTGTTTGATAACGCACTTGGCAACATACACGCTTTGTGACTGCCGCCTGTGAATAATCGAGCTTGTACCAGCCAAACTGGTGATTATTACAAGTCTTCGGATATGTAAACCCGATCTATTTAACAGCCGCTTACGACAAGCACTGATTACCTGTGACCAACTCTCAAACAGAATCCGCTGTATCCATGAATTTAAAAAATAATGCACATGCCCTTCGCATTACTTTCACTCTGAAATAATTACTTTCACTTTCCTTTGATTTCTGTCTACAGAAAGAATTCGGGCGAGCCCTCAAAAGGGAGACGAGGTAACTGGCTGATTAATGGGCAGTTTCTCGTCGTTCAAACACCACTTCAGTTTTTTAAAAACACCTCAAGGAAATTCCCAGTCATGATTAGTTAAAGCGTTCGCTCGTCACGCCTAAGACCCGGGTTTGATTCCCCACATGGGTACAATGCGTGAAGCCCATGTCTGGTGTCCCCCGCCGTGATATTGCTGGAAAATTGCTAAAAGCGGCGTAAAACCATACCCACTCACTCACTCAATCCTACGCGTAGCCTAAGCTCAGTATATGCTTGTGATGGTAGCTGATCGCAGATTGCATATCTTTTTATGAAATCATTACTCAATTAATAATTTTGAGAATTTTGAGCAAAAACGCCGATTTCGTGCAATCAGTTTCTTTCATGATCTTCGTGTGAACACCTGTCTTGTGTTGAAGTTGTAGTAAAAAGATGCACTGAGGCCAAGTAAACCTATGTGAGTATAGAGCCTGGCGTTTATCTTTGAATGTATGTGTGCCTGTACATGAATGTAATGTGGTTATTTAGGAGTCACGGTCGGCCGACTCCCCACTCCTTGACTTAGCGACCTTTCACGGACAAGGTCAGTGTGGAGCCTGAGCTTACATCCTCCCTGACAACGTGGAACGGCCATAATTAGTAGATAACTGTAGTAGTGTCCACTGGCACCCCAACGCAGTTACGACGATATTCTATATGAAAACATGGAAGCCGTTATGTAAACAAACCCACTTGTGCGGACTTGAGTCTCTCCCACGATGCATGGCCCTATATCTATCAACACCTTCAACTCATGCAACCCACTTCTGTTATCTTTTTACAGTGTAATGTCAAAGTGACAATAAAAACTGTGATTTTTTTTGACGATCGCCTACCGTCATGACTAAACTACTCGAGATTATTTTTGTAAAAAGTAATTCAATCCTTCTGCGCATTCTGATTGGTTTGTCGTATTTTCGCACATAACTTTCATCGATATGAATCTTTGAGTTAGTCCAGTCTTCATTCAATTTACGGAATGTACATATTGGGGTTTGGCTCCCATCCGGAATTCGGACCTTCACTCAGACTAAGCTTATCGCCAGCACACAAAGTCAGCGATCTAACCCACTCAACCACCTTGGCTTCCACGAAAGGATCTCTGACGCCTGGTTGTTTACATCGTGTACCCGTCTGACAAGTGCTCCCATACCCCGACACCCCACAGCCCCGCAGCAACATTTACGTCATGCCGCGGCGGGTTGTAAACAAACCCAATTGACTACAACGTACCACAAAGCTTATCTGAGGGTTGACATTTGTGTATATAATCTCCGAATTTTATGACATATTTAATCCTCCAGGAAATCATTACGTAAGTCACTATGCTATAACCCCCATATGCACACAAGGTGTTGACCTTGGTGCCTTGACCTTGACCGATAGAAGGTTATAAACCTTGAATCATAATGCAGTTTCAAGCGGTCCTCGGAGCAAGATAGCTTGTCGTGAAACTGCGTTACAGGAGGAGTGATAAATCGCTAACCTGTCAGGTCGTACGTACCTGTCCCAGCTCTCCTTGTATGTCGTCGTATCACGGACCTGTTTGTTGAAATCAGCGACCTTGCTGTTCATACGATGTGTTGTTGACAGCCCTTCACACCGCGTGGTTGGGACAAGTGCAGCAACAATACCAGCACCTGGGATTTAACAAAATGCCTGAGAAAAGGAGTGAGGGTCCCGAGGATCAAAGTCATTCGTCTGTCGCCTTTCTTGCTCTAAACCACAACAGAAACACGAGATGGATTGCTGTATCGCGTTGGGGACACACAGAGAGTTGTGGAGAGAAAGAGCGTGTTGTGGACAGGGGTAGAGAGTGTTGTGGAGAGAAATAGCGTGTTGTGGACAGGGTTAGTGTGTGTTGTGGAGAGAAAGAGTGTGTTGTGGACAGGGGTAGGGTGTGTTGTGGAGAGAAAGAGTGTGTTGTGGACAGGGGGAGTGTGTGTTGTGGAGAGAAAGAGTGTGTTGTGGACAGGGGGAGTGTGTGTTGTGGAGAGAAAGAGTGTGTTGTGGACAGGGGGAGTGTGTGTTGTGGAGAGAAAGAGTGTGTTGTGGACAGGGGTAGGGTGTGTTGTGGAGAGAAAGAGTGTGTTGTGGACAGGGGGAGTTTGTGTTGTGGAGAGAAAGAGCGTGTTGTGGTCAGGGGGAGTGTGTTTTGGAGAGAAAGAGCGTGTTGTGGACAGCGGGAGCGTGTGTTGTGGAGAGAAAAAGTGTGTTGTGGACAGGGGGAGTGTGTTTTGTGGAGAGAAGGAGTGTGTTGTGGACAGGGTTAGTGTGTGTTGTGGAAAGGAAGAGTGTGTGTTGTGACACAGGGAGTGTGTTGTGGACAGGGGTAGGGTGTTTTGTGAAGAGATTGCGAGAGAGGGGAGAGTTCGCTGGTTTTGAGCCTCAATGTTTTGCCATGACCAAGTGGCGCGTGACTTTCTCTTTCACTTGCCCGACCCTGCTGTGTAATCGAAAAGTTCGTGTAGTCTGTGTATATGATAATGTCTGTATACACATGTTGAACACAAAAGGTCAGGGTCCTACTTGTTGCTTCAGCTCAGTATATGCTTGTGGTGGTGTTACCATAGCCCGATGACCAGGGTCGTTGCTTGTAGTAACCTTAAAGTTATATTTAATTAACAAGCCCTCAACAGCTATTCCATGTCCACGTGTGTACAGCCTTAAAGCAGCAACAAAATCAAAACACTGACTAGCTTCAGCAGTTCTACCTACCCCAGACAGACGCACAAAATGTTCCCCGCTTAAACTTCTTTGTAGTCACATTCAGCATACATTTCAAATATTGAAATACAATAATTACTAGATGAATGTACATTTTAGAAACACAAAAATCATACGCAAAATCACCCAGATGATTCAGCCTGTACTGAAGGCTACGAAAACTAAATGAGTCTTATTGACGTAGTAGAGCCTGTTTTGTTTGTTTGATTGTTTAACGCCCCATTCAGCAATATTTCAGCTATATGGCGGGGTTTGTAAATATTCGATTCGATATAAATCTTGCATATGGCTGCCTGCGACGTTAAATAGAAAAATTTAATGTGAACGTTGATGCTTCGAAATACAAATCCGTGTTGGCGTGCATACGTATGCGTGCGTGCGTGTTGGTCGGTGGGGTAATGTATTTTTATATGCCACCGGCAGTAAAACTGGTTTTGGTACGTGTTGATTACCGATTTGAAACAATAGGTTAACGAGAAATTAGTCCGTAAAAGAAGTTTATCAATCGATACTCAAATTTAATCAAAGCAAAGAAATTATAATGGCAGTGTCAATAGAGCTGAATGGCAGTGCAATAAAAATGGCATTAAACTATACTATTTGAAATACGTAGTGGTGATATTATATGTGAGCAAATTTGTATGATTGTATTTTTCTTTATGAAATGATTCATGTTAACTTGGCACTACTAACGTAACAACATCCTGGAGGTACACGTGGTGTCATTTGTGTGTCGACATGGGCGACGCCGTTCAGCGTGACAACCTCCTGGGGTTACACGTGGTGTCATTTGTGTGTCGACATGGGCGACGCCGTTCAGCGTGACAACCTCCTGGGGTTACACGTGGTGTCATTTGTGTGTCGACATGGGCGACGCCGTTCAGCGTGACAACATCCTGGGGTTATACGTGGTGTCATTTGTGTGTCGACATGGGCGACGCCGTTCAGCGTGACAACCTCCTGGGGTTATACGTGGTGTCATTTGTGTGACGACATGGACGACGTCGTTCAGCGTGACAACCTCCTGGGGTTATACGTGGTGTCATTTGTGTGTCGACATGCACGACGTCGTTCAGCGTGACAACATCCTGGGGTTACACGTGGTGTCATTTGTGTGTCGACATGGACGACGTCGTTCAGCGTGACAACATCCTGGAGGTACACGTGGTGTCATTTGTGTGTCGACATGGGCGACGACGTTAGGTGTGACAACATCCTGGGGTTATACGTGGTGTCATTTGTGTGACGACATGGACGACGTCGTTCAGCTTGACAACACCCTGGAGATACACGTGGTGTCATTTGTGTGACGACATGGACGACTTCGTTCAGCGTGACAACATCCTGGAGGTACACGTGGTGTCATTTGTGTGTTAACATGAATGACGTCGTTCAGCGTGACAACATCCTGGAGGTACACGTGGTGTCGTTTGTGTGTGGACATGGACGACGTCATTCAGTGTGACAACATCCTGGGGTTACACGTGGTGTCATTTGTGCGTGGACATGGATGACATCGTTCAGTGTGACAACACCCTGGAGACACACGTGGTGTCATTTGTGTGTGGACATGGATGACATCGTTCAGTGTGACAACACCCTGGAGACACACGTGGTGTCATTTGTGTGTGGACATGGACGACGTCGTTCAGCGTGACAACATCCCGGAGGTACACGTGGTGTCGTTTGTGTGTCGACATGGACGACATCGTTCAGCGTGACAACATCCTGGAGGTACACGTGGTGTCGTTTTTGTGTTGACATGGGCGACGTCGTTCAGCGTGACAACATCCTGGAGACACACGAGATCTATCTATCAGATTTCATATCTACTATCAGATTTCAGGTTTCTAAATCTGCGAAAGCTGTTTTGTAGAAAGTCGAGAAAAAATCGTAGAATGAAAGTGATAATAAATTATTCAAATGAATAATAGTGCTGGCTTTTACACACGTATGCATTGATTTTAACATTTCATCATCTTTTAAATGCTTGCATCCTGCATGGCGACTTATTCAGTTCTAGCAGATTGTGAATGACTATTACATTTCAGTGTAAACACAATGTAGGACTACGAACTATGTGCCCGCCTTATGCTTAAAATAGAATCTACTTTGGAATTGACTAAATAGTATGATATTATGGGGATTGCGGATGTCGTGGCTTGGATTATTTGTATGTTGATGGAAACACACTCATATGGATACTTTCCTTAAACAGTCATATTTGCTTATAATGCAACTCTACAAGCATTACATTATTTACGTAATTTAACATACACTAAACGCCAAAAGAAACGTTACCCTCCTTCCTTAATGACGGGGGTACCTATCTTCAGCTGGCGTTGCGATGCGTGGACGTCCACTTCTTCGTCTGTCTACAGGGACCCCAGTCTGTCTGAAGCCCTGAATAAGTCTTATAACCGTGATACGATGGCATCCGAGGCAGCAGCATTGTATGTCGACTCCATCTGCAACATTACAATGGCTCTTTCTCTCTCTTCAGCTGTTAATCGTGGCATATTTCTCGTACTTGTGTATCATATCATGCATTCTAGGCTCTCTTTATACCCTACAGAATCATTTACATGTGAAATGGATGCAAATACTGCTTGAATATTGCTGCGTTTTGGCGAATGATATTGCTATGTGTAAACAGAAATGGAAAAATGTTACTTTGCAAGTAAAAATGTTAACAAAGATAATTTCAGATGTTTCCAAACATTTCAGACACGTTCTACTTGTTTTCACTAATGGAAATCAGCGGAAAATGTTTTAAAAGACTGAAATCATAGGAATGATTATGTGACAATTTTACACACTCTACAACAGTTGTTTCTTTGTTATAATAGTTGAAAAACGGTGTCTTTAAATGGTTTATCTTTGCTTCAAAGAAGATTTTTATTTCAACCTTTCTTTTGGACATCTAAATCACTCTTATTGGTTATTTCTGCATGGACGAAAATATGACAATTTAACTCTTCTGAAAAAGATGCATTGCACCTAAATATGAATGCATTTGAGCAATATTTTTCGTGATTTGCATAAAGCTGTGTTGTTCAGCTTTCTTGTAATCTAATACCTTTTAACATATCTTTGATAGTTTTTAAGTAATTCGTAAATGTAGGAGGGTAACGTTTCTTGTGGCGTTTAGTGTATACGTGTTGTGGAGCGTACCCACACGTTAAGCTTTGTTTAGTCTCATCAAATTATATCACTATACTCTCTGTAAGCCTTTCTTCGGTTTAAACCTTGTCGGTGAAGTCTGTGTAGCATACTCAGCCTACACAGGAAACATTAAATGTCAATGAGCTGTACACATGTTTTCCCTGTGTGTCGACACCGGTTCTTTCAGCTGAATAGTAAAATAGAAAATTTGTTGCCACCACTTTCTGATGAGGAAAGGGCGAATGCAAGTTACTCTATTTGTCGTGTCTACGTGCCAGACATGTCAAGCTCGGCAAAATATATCTAGCTAAACAGATTATGTCCATGAGAATTGCCGTCCTGTACAGATTGTTGGTCGTTCACCTGCCTTTAAAAGCGGACAGAGAGCCGGTAGATAGTGGGAAGAGCGCGGTTAGACCTGCAGAAAGGCAAGCCGGTGACAAGGAGGGACGTACACTGGCCACCAAATCCAACCATATTCTGCACATGTATCAGCCTTACTTCGCTTCTTTCCCCAGGTAGCCTCTGTCTCAGACTCAGACTCAGACTAGTTTATTCAATACTACAGGCCTTATGACCTAAGGTACAGTTACAGCAGAATATTATATTTTGTCACGTGGATGCTGGCCTTAATGCTTGCGATGCCTGTGATGCGAGATTGCTACATGCAGCTGACCATTTTAGCCTAGATGAGAATAGTAGACCAAGATACTTGTAGTATGTTGTACACTTCAATTGTTCACCCGCATAGAACCACTCCTCCTTCTTGCGTATAATTCCACATTACGAAAAACGATTATTCTTGTTTTATCCATATTGACACAGAGTCCCCAAGACTTGCAGTACTGGTATAATACGTCTAGTTGGTGTTGCAAACCTATAACCGTGCAAGAGAACATGTTGACGTCATCAGCAAATAACAGCATCTTAATATCCTCGATGTCCTGAGAAACAAAGACTCCGTGTTTGCAGGTCTGGTAGATTTCAGTGGCTAATTCATTGATGAAAACAGTAAATAAAAGAGGACTTAGCATACATCCTTGGCGCACTCCAGAACTTGTCAGGAAGGAGTCAGTTTTCCCGTTGTCAACCTTCACACATGCTTTGACTGACGTATACATATGAGCCAGTACGTTATATATTTTACCATGACATCCATGTATTAAAAGCGAGTAAAGCAGTTTGTCCCTATCTACCAGATCAAAGGCTTTTTTTAAATCAATAAAAGCGCAGTAGAAACTACCCCCTTTTTTGCAAAGATATTTTGAACGTAATGCTTGAAGGGTGAAGATATTATCAACTGTTCCATAACCTGGGCGAAAACCAGCTTGAGCTTCAAGGAGAACCTCATTTAAATCAGTCCATGTTCGTAATCTGGTTTCCAGCACAGATGTGAATATTTTTCCAGCCACATTAAGCAGCGAAATCCCTCTGTAGCTATTGGGATCAATAGTAGATCGTGACTTGAATAACGGCAATATCAGTCCTACATTCCACGCATCTGGGAACAGTCCAGTATCTAAATTTTTTTTGAAAAGGGGTTTCAGAAATACTAAAAGTGACTTTTGAACGGCTTTGAAGAACTCCGGGGGTATGCTTAGATTTAAGATGTGTTATAGCTTGCAGGATCTCGTCATCAGTGATTGCACAAGACAGCAGATCACTCCCAAGAGAATGTTCACAGTGTTCACAGTAGTGGTTTGTTATATATTCCAAAACAAGTTCATCAAATGAGTCGTTAACATCAACATGCACAGGATTCAACAAGTCTTTGAAGTATGTATATAGAGTTTGCGCATTTACAACACATGACGAGCGTCTATAATTCATTATTCGTTTCACAGTTTCCCAAAACTCTTTACAGTCTCCATATTTTGCGGCATGTTCTAAGTGTTTAGTAATGTTACCATCCATTTCAACTTTCTTACGATCATAGCATTTTCTAAAATTTGACTTTGCATCTGTGTAGTTTACGAGGTTTTCTTTGCTTCTACAGTGTCTGAACACATTCAACAATTTACACTTATTTCGTTTCAGGTTCTCGCAATCAATGTCATACCATGCAGGCTGTACTTTCCTGGCGTTCTGTGCCACATTACTCTTAGGTTTCTGTTCCTGGACACACGATGTTAGTATGTCATTGAGCATTGACACTGCTGAATTAATATCTGTATTCAAGCGACAGTGAAATTTGTCTAGCATATCTTGTGACTGGCAAAGATAATTGACATCATTTGAATAAGTACTGGATATCTTGAATCTAGGAATTCATCTTCAGATTCAGTGCTGTAGTTTCATTTTCTGCACCTGTGAATAAGTTTGAAAAAGTACACACAACGGGCATGTGATCGGACTCTGTTCTTGGAATCACTTCCAGATCACGCAATTCGTTGAACATTTCACTTGATACAATAAAGTAGTCAACAATACTGGTACCTGAATGTGAAATAAATGTGTAATTACTCGGTGAATCTGAATCCGTTCTTCCGTTGACAATGTGGATTCCAAACTGTTTACATAAATCCAGTAGTTGAAATCCATACGCATTTGTGTCGCAATCATGAGACGTCCTGGGTGAACTGAAGGAGTTGGACGTATAATAGTTGGGTAAAAGGGAGGTAATTCGAAGAATCATCACGCATAAAATCATCAAGCTCTCCTGTTCGTGCATTAAAGTCGCCACTGATAATGAATATTGGAACATCATCAAAGTCATTACAGATATCAGACAGGTTTCTCTCTAACCGATCAATACCACTTTCATCTGATTCTAAATACATGGGAGTCTTCTCAGGATGAACATACACAAAACCTAGAATCACTGACCTATTAATTTTCTTACATAACACCCTGAAATAAAGACAGTCATTCCAATCACTATATATTCTTTTAAATTGTGATGTAATAGGTTTCTTTATGCAAACAATGATACCCCCACTATATCTGCCGTATTTTGATCGCCGTGCTGGATCACAAGTGAAGCACACATGGTGAGGGAAAATTGAGGATAGATTCAATGACTCAATACACCATGTTTCAATTTAGCAGAATATTTCGAACTGAGTGCAAAAGTTAACAAAATCAGAAAAGGATAACTTAGAGAGAAGTCCATGGACATTCCAAGTACATATGCTTGTCAGTTGATATGAAGCGTCAGTGACTATGACACCTAGACAGTCAGGTTTGTAATTGAGATCACGGTCACTTTCCTATTCTGAATTATGACTTGAAGGATCTGCATATGTAGGTTTCCTCCTCGTCCAGTTCCGTCGCTCGCCGACTCTCCTAATGCTGGTTGTATCTTCGTCATAGGCGTAGACAAAAGGGAAGACAACTATAAATATTTTGATTACTTAGAGTCACAGGACAGCTAGGTGTTAACTGGGAGTTAAAATGAATATTCTAATACACAGTCTATGCATGGTTTTCAAATCAATCCTTTGAAGATATGTAACCTTCAAAGACATTTAACATTCCAAATATATACATTTAAAGTGACATTTAAGTAGACAATAAAGAAGCACCTTACCTCTGATGTGTCCTGCTTTGAAACCAATAATATCCTTTGGTGGTGGTGTGGTGAACGGCGAGTGCTGCTGCTGCTGGTGTTATACACTACCAATATAGAAAATAAGTATGAAATCAAAATGTATCAACAAGTTCAATCTCCCTACAAAACATTGAGAGTTAAATTAGAACCATTAGTAATGAAATATAATACACAGATGCCTCCTTGATTGCGATCTTTTCATCACAAAGGATATAGAATGGAGAATCATCACAGTACAAGCTCATCAGTGTATCAGTAACTGTTGTGGTCAATCGCGTTAGAATGATGTCTTCAAATCTGGACTGACAGCCAAAGTAGGTCAAACAAGTAATGAATTCACACTCGACCACCATTTGATGCTGGAAGGAACTGGATCTGAAAATTGACGTTTACCATTTTGACACGTTAACTGAAGGTGTCAGTCTTTTCTATGCCCCGTTGATTGCATTTAATCAAAGTTGTCTACAAGCTCATCAGTGTATCAGTAACTGTTGTGGTCAATCGCCTTAGGGAACCCGTGAAGAGCCACCTCCTCGTGGTGGGTGCTGGGTAACGCTAAGAGCTCTTCAACCCCCTGTTGTGGACCCGGGAGTATATTTGGTCCACCAACTCGTTTGCCGTGGGTTGCGCCCCTGTGTCGTTGGAGGAAGGGATTCTGGTGGTTGAGGGCACTGGTTCCAGGAACAGTGTTCTTTTGCCCAAAACACCACTTCGGCCCTGACTTCACCTAGACTGGTGGTTGAATGGGCCTGATTCAACCAATCGGCTGGTCATGCCGAGCCCTGAGCACTCTATTTTCATTGCTCTATCACTTTTTGGCATGTTTTTTTTTTATACATATTGTTAAACGTATTGTGCTTGTAAGTTTATAATTATACACTGCTTTTTGAAACGTCTGAAAAGTAGAAATTTACCTAGATGCTGGTGCCAGAAGGCGATAGCTCATGGGCCAATCTGGTGGAAAAAATCATCTTTTAGTTTTTCTGCTTGAGTATATCATCCGAGTATCCTTGGTGCTGCAAGCTGGAGACCCACTTGTTTTTAGCATTGCCCTTGTAATACTCTGTGGTGGGTGGGGAGCTCGGATGATGAACCATTAAAAACTAACCATGGCTTACGAAACCCCCATGACCAAAAAAGACCATCCACTTGACACTGATCGGCGTTGGTGTATCAATCGGTGATGGGGGAGGTGTCGTTGGCCTTGACCAAACTGTCGAGAGATGACAGCAGAGTCTATGAACCTCAGGCCGTTCAGGGAGAAGGAGATGTATCTGTCCATGTTGTCAGGTTGCCGTCGACCCTCGCGATGGCCTGCATGTTCAAGTGAGAGTCGTACCCTCTCAAGTTGTGGAAGACCACGGGGATGTTGATTGTTTTGGGGTTGATTCTGAGCTTGAGATTGCACGCGCTGTGAGCGGCGCCGCTGTACCCCCCGGCGATGTGACTGATCTCTCACCAAATCGCCGTTCAGTGGTTCATCGCACACTTTGCAGTGAGTGCTGCAGCCGTGAGCCCGCCGGTCGGCTTGGGTCATACGCATGGGAACGACAGTGTACAACCTCTTCCTGATGGTTTTCTCTTCGTGCTGCAAGCACTTTAGAAAATTTTGAGACACGTCGGGACCCCTGTACACCACAGGAGTGTCCGTTTCCCCATCACGTCGGACGACCACGTATCCGAACCCCCAGGCCACGTGCTCCTGCGTTTTGTGCATGTTGGGGGCCGGCCCAATGTCAACGGGTTTGACCAAGGCTTCGAAGTCGGCGTAGATGATGTAAGGTACGGACATCTGGTTCTTCTGGTTGTCGATTCGTACGGCTGTCTGCCCCACGCCTAGGCAATCCTCCCGGTGTGATTCCAGCAGTTCGGGCCGGGTGAAGCCGTGCAGGCACCGTCCGCATAAGTGACTCTTTGCTTTGTGTGCCGATTGGTCGTACAACAGCCTGCTGAAGTGTTTTATCCACGCGTAATGGCACTTGCCACCTCGCTGGATCATGAATATATTGATCACGCGACGACCCTCCATTGGGCTGATCTTGTCCACGATCGTTTTGTTACCTTCGTGCCCGAAGACGTTGATGGCTATGGGGTTCTGCTTCTCGATTCTGGTGACCTGGGATATGGGGGTGGGTTCGTCTATACCGTCCCAGTTGAGCCCGTCATCTTGGGGGTAGCTCGTAGGTCTGTTCGAGTTAACATCGGTCAGAAACAAGGCAGACCTGATAGCTACCCTCATGCAATCGTCCCCTCTGTTTTTGACGTTGACTATGGCTTGTTTCTTCTTGTAGTAGGGGGGCAAGTCTAGGTACGATCTGCCACTGAATGGTACGTAGTTAGCTATGTCTAGATAGACCTTATCGATTTTATCCACGGCCCACACGGACCCCCTGTGCGTGAAGCATTCCAGGGACTCTCGTATCTGCTGAAGCGAGGTGTCGATGGACTCATCTACCATCTCGGGTTGAGTCACGACTTCTTGTTTACCCCGGAAGTAAGGCTGAACTTACTCAATGGCACCGTCCGTCTGCTGTTTATCAAGCGACATCTTTACCGTGATTTGAAACTTGAGGCTTCCCAGGTCGTTCAGTTCCTCATTGACCTTGTCAGCGATCAAAGGCTTGACGTCACCGATGTCCATGTTCTTGTCTACATTCATCCGCCAGCGTCTCAGGTAGTTACCTATAGCGAGGTTAGTGCGCACGAACTGTAGATCGACGACTCTGTGCTGATGCAACAGTTCGACGAGCTCGGGTTTCCTCATACAGGAATAACCCGCCAGCCCCAGCTCTTGGAGTTTGAGTTGTTTCACCGTGGGAGGTCGTTGTACAGTGGTGTGCAACAGTGCGACTAGTCCGGCTTTCCCAGGCGGGAATAACCCGCTTGCCCCAGCTCTCTGGCTGGGAGTTTAAGTTGTTTCACCGTTGGAGGCGGTTGTATGCCTAGTAAGCTAAACAATATAGAGTAACCCACTACACCTCGTTCTCTCGCAATCTGCTTGAGCTCTCGGGCAGTAGGCATTGTTATACCCAGGTGTATACAATCTCTAATTGGACCACCGGCAAGGGAGGTAACTCCTCCAACCATCAAAAAAGGAGGCGCCATAAAATCCTTAGTAAATATCGATACCTCATCGATTATACCCACCCGGAACATGCGCAGCATAGTATGGTGTTTTGTATTATTTGCAATGAGTCGTCGACAATCATATCTATCTCCCCTGGTGATGCACCTCTGCTAGTCCACCATCAAAGTAATTCCAAGTGTGCCCAGCCCACGGTACATCAAACCCCCGACCTCTATACTTCTGCCTACATCCATCTGCCAGCTTCACAGGCAACGACTTTCCCTGGGTTCAACTTCCACAAACTGTAGACTATTCATCATTATACCTAGGTGTACACAGTCTTTAATTAGGCCTCCGGCCTTACACTTCCACCCTGAGGAGGCGCCTACATTCGTATCCTCATATGTGTACCTAGTTTAATTGCTTTGCGATCAATGCAGTCGCTGATAGGCCTATCATGATGAAGGCCAGTTCTCAGCCCTTTTGCCCCGGGCTGGGTGCATAGTACTGGGAGAGTACTGAGAGAGTTCCTCAAGTGGTTTCTAGCTGTTTGCCGGTCAGCAGGTACACTGGAAAAAAAGTCCATGTTTACAAGCTTGGAAATGTCTTGGAAAGATGATGTTTCCAAGACATTTCCAATTTTGGAAAGATGATGTTTCCAAGACATTTTCAATTTTGGAAAGATGATGTTTCCAAAAATTGACAATTTTGGAAATGTCCATAAGGGGAGATAACTGGTGGGTGATGGTAAATTATTGTTATTTGCACGCCCCTGGACCTAATCCCTTGTTGATTGATGAGTGAATCAAGGCAGTTAATAGTCACCAATTAACAAGGCCTACTGCCTTGTTAAT